TCGTGATAAGGAGATGATTGGTGTGTTAAAACTGATTTCATTCTTCAATACCACAACAGGGGGAGAGGATTTATATGTCATGGCAGCCAATGTGTTATTCTGCTAATAATTCTGTGTTTAACTTTTAGGTAACGAGACGACATTGTTGGTTTGATGATTTGCTTCCAGTTCTGATTCATAAACAATTAGACCTATGCCTCCGGCGCCTTATACTGGAAAAACAATCAGAAATAAGTAAAAATGTCTTAAATTAAGTGTATTTACCCTTAATTTGAGTGGGTAAATGAGATGATTTTCCAATGGAATTAGTATTTTTACTCTAAAAAAAAAAGATATTTAGATAAAATGCACTTAAAATATGACAATGCAATTGTATTTTCTTATTTTAAATGTATATTGTCTCGTTCCATTGGTAAAATGTCTTGTTTACCTCCTCAATCCAAGAACAAGTACACTTATTATAAGAAAAAAATGACTTATCTAGATTTAGATTTTTTCCAGGTGTTTTCAAACAGCCCCGGTGTTACGCCTGCAACAGGTACAAGATGCATTAACCTCCAAAATGGGTCCCGATCACAGATTTTCATTTAAAAAAAACTGTCAAATTTGTTTCTACTGTATTCCATGCAATTGAATCATCCACCATGCCCTGACAATGAGTGAAAAGAAAAAGGAAAACAAAAAAACTGATTATTTGCGAACACAACCACGGTGTGTGGCCAGCCTCATTCATTACTCACACAGGTTAATCATCAAAGAGATAATTATCTTGTTATCTTGAGAAAACAATTAATGGTTTAACCGCGATAACGAGATAGTAATGTCTAGTGTTGCACCGATACCGATACCAGTATTGGGCGGGACCCCGACCCAGCACTAAAATGGTGATATCTGTATTGGCGATTACCAACAAATAGGGCATCGATGCCATTTTAAGAGCCATAGGTTTAGGTAGGCAATAAAAAGTTCTACTGGATTCACTTTGTATTAGTCTTTTTCCTGCTTTACAAAGGTAGACAGCAGCTTGACAAAGCCATGATGCTAATTAGTAGTATGCAGTTCTTCATATATACACACACACACACATCAATTTCAAACAGATGGTACAGGTATCAGTATCGGGGCCGAAAAATTTAATCGGCACCACAGTAGTTATGTCATTATCTCGAGAATGTGGTGTTTGTAAACTAAACACTTAGCTGCATGCTTCACATGGATGGCAAAACCGCTGTGCTTAGGATTGATAAAAGGCGACGTGAAACCCTGGAATAACAATCAGTGTCTCAGACCAGGACGGTCTGTGAGAGGAAGAACCAAACCTGCATGCTGGTCCATAAAGCAGCAGCTCATTGAATCGGTAGCCAACAACATTGCTGTTATTGCTGGTCAGGTTTTCGCCTCATTTTCTGGATCAGCACCTCTACATTTCCACCAAGATTAAAGCAAAACCAAAACAATTCAGATTTGAAACAGTAATTTGGGTTCAAACCTTTTCATTTCTGCTGTTTCCAAAACAGAGAAACAAACAGCGAGACTTTCATTACGAGATTCCTCTCCGGCATTAACTAAAGCATTTCCAGATAACTCCTGCAGCTACACCCCGAGCTGAGTGTGGAAGAGCGACGTAGATGCTGTGATTACAGTAAATTAAAGGGTATTACAGCGTAATCCACTGCCAGTATTTATGGGTCATTGTAACACATGAGTTCCTGTTGGAGCCATGCTGATGTGGAGAACAAGATTAATGTCTTCATCTCTGGCTCTTAGGGCACAACGAGGTGCGTTACTGACTTGGAACAACTGCTCACACGTGTAGAAACATAGAAAATTAAAAATCACACGGAAATCAGAAACAAGCAGGCCGAAAATCCCAAACATTTTATCCTGCAGACACTCAGATCTAAGGAAAACTTTCTAAGGAAGTTGAGACAGGTTTTCATTTTTAGATTTTGTTCTATCTAACATAATGCAGGTCAAAAATATTTTCTCCTATTTAAGATGGTTTATTAGCCAGAGAAGCATCAGACCTTTGGGCATAAACAAAGCTCTGTTGCACAGGGTCAAAGTTTAAGATTGCAAAAATGAAAACAGAAATAATTTACATCACAGTCGAAAACAGATTGAGAAACTAAATTCGCTGACAAGTAACTTCAAGCTCTTTAATAACAGATAAAACCTTTTCATAAACAAGAAAAAAAATTTTATTTTTCTAATGACTTTGAGGATTTTATAGAACAAAAGAGTAGCCTCCCAGATCAGTTAATTCAGTTTTCGTATTAATGTTATCGGACTAAAGACATCCATATGTTTTCAGTTAGGATCAACCTGATTGAACAAAGTTTGTCTTTATTGTTCTGCTAAGTAAAAACAGTCTATACCTTCCAAACCTCTCACGAGAAAGACTAAAAACAGCTTATGTTGCTTAAAAAAAATAAAAATGAACGACTAATGACCAGGAAACCTTTAAAGAAAGTATCAACATACTGATAGCTTGGAATGAAAATGAGAAGAAAGTCAAAACATGTGTTGCAACCTGCCTAAATGATTACCACCCCGTCGCACTGACCCACCTTATAATAAATTGCTTTAAGCAGTAAACCTCATTCCATCACTGGATCTGTACGAGTTCCCCCAAATACTCCAAGTATTTACACCAGAGGTGAATGTTTTTCGACCACACTGCTGAAAATGCTCATTTAAAAAGCCTAAGTCACAATCAGGCAACATCTTTCAGATTCGACTCAAAATGTTTTTCTTTATTTTGGCTAAATAATGAAACTTCTCTCTTTATTCCTAATTGGCTGAGGTGGAGTCAGTCCAATTAAAATAAAATAAAAATCTCCTGCTTTATACTCTTTGTTTCAATTCACATCATGTCACCTCAAGGCACTTTCCAGTTCACCAGATCATCCAGTCAGATTGATTCAAAGTTTTCTATCTAAGGAAAACCAGTTGATTGCATCGACTCATTGACTCTTCAGCAATCTCTCACACTAAGCATGCTTGTAGCAACAGTGGAGAGGAAAAACTCCCTTTGAACAGGAAGAAACCTCCAGCAGAACCAGGCTCAGTGTGAGCGGCCATCTGCTGAGGCCCACTGGGGTTCAAGGAGACAGAAGCAGACATAGAAAAAGAAGCATAGATACAAAAGGCAACTATCAACCAGCTCCACAGGCGGCCCCGTCCAGGAAACACACAGCCAGGCAGACGAGCTCCGAGCCAGCTCCCATGTCAGAGGATGAAGAGAGCACATCCAGTTAGTTACAGTCAGAGAAACAGGACTACACTGAAAAAAAGGCAGATCTCCAACATCTATAAACAAAGGTGTTGATGGCAGCAGCACAGCTGATATTTCTCTCCAGGATGGAGTCACAGCCAAACAGGAACAGACCAGATGAAGCTACTATGAGAAAAAGCAGAGAGAGCAGCTCCAGAAGTCTAAACATATAGCAGCATAACTATAGAGTTAGCTCAGGATAACCTCCTCAAGGTTGTGTCATCGGCCCGTAGCGGTTCACACTGTTAACAAACAGCATCAACACAAGAAAAAAACCGGATAACTGCACTGGCACATGATCCCACATGCACAGGGATGATAAATCAAGGTAAAGAGCAAGAGGGCAGCAGCAGAGAGACAACAACCTGGTCCCAAACATGGACATAAAAGAGGACAAGATTGTAAATTTCCAGAGGTCGTGACCCAAGCACACACCGTCAGCATCCGCAGCTGTGCAGCAGAGGGAAGGGATAGCACAGAGTTTGTCAGAGAGCAGATAGGGTTATCTCAATGGATGGAAAACTTTTCTGTGTCCGACAGGGACCGTTCTGCCACAACATCTGAAACAAACCCACTCACACAGGGGTTCTCACATTTTACAAGGCTGTGCAAGAGAGTAGTGATGATCTTGGCACTCCCCGATCCGTCCCGGAAGCACAATCCATCCTGCGCATGTGCACACAGATTTTTTTTTTTTTTACTTGATCGTATTCAAATCCACCCTCCCACACACACACCTGCGCGGACCGGCCAAGCAGGTAAATATGATCAAGTAAAATGATACGACTGGCATAAAATCAAATACAAACAGCATAAAAATAAAACAAGCCGGTCCCATCTAGGCGTAATCGGAGACAATGACAGACGAAGTGTGCTCCTGATGTCCAGTCTGCTCCGCAGCTTTGTTTTGGTCGCTGTAACCGCAGTAAATCCTGCTTCACAAAGATAGGATAGATAGGATTAGTCTTAACCTGTGTCAAGAGGCACAGATGCACCGACTGATGGAATTGGGAGAGAATACCGCAATTTTTTATAAGTTTTCAAAATAAAACATCACTCAGACTCTGATCGTCGATAAATTATTCTGTGCGGCCCGGTACCAAATGACCGACGGCCCGTTCGTTGGGGACCGCTGCTCTAAACCACAACCAAAATCTGACACTTACATATCGCATATTCTAAAAAATGAAAAACAACAATACAGTTAAATAGCCTTTCGACCGTTACTGTGACCGCTCTGAGCATGCCGGATGATGACATCACAGAATACAATGGAGAGAATGAAAACGTATCCATTTCTTTCAGAAAAGTCTTCAAAAATGTTTGAAGTATAAAAAGAAGTATTTTCAGTACAGTTATTGCGCAGTTTTTCAGCTATCTGGTTCTTATTATTCAGTTGGAGGATGCACAGGACGTTTCGTGCTTCTGGGATGAATGGGGTAGTAACAGATCTAAATCTCACTGTTTTAGTCCTGCAGTGTGGCAGACAGGACAGCCCTACAGGAGACAGTGATGGTGAGAGGAGCCGATGATGCCCCTGGAGTCATGGAGCACCTGGAACCTTGGTCCAGAGACCCACTCCCACCCTCTCCATGGTTCAGGCCTGGTTCAGATGTTTAGAAAAGAAACTGAAATCTTCCATCAGACCTTCTTCCATGCATATGACTGTAGACCCACAGTGAGTTTACAGAAACCCAACATGCAGCATAAATATTAAACAAACCTTCATTCTTTTGTTCCGCTACAGCTGCACCCAGAAGAAACAATGGTGTTAAAATAAAGTCCCTTCTGTCAGCTGCATTGTCCCGCGGTGACTCAAATAAACTTGTCCTCTGAGGACGTGGGGAGCACGCTGTCTGTTTGTTCAGATGTTTACACCCACTCTGCGCGTCCTTGTAGTGATTTGTGTCTCTGTATACGTCTGCAGACAAAGTGGAGCCCAGCAGAGAGCAGACAGTGATGCATGATGTGTGAAGAAACAATCGCTTACAGTATTTATGTATTATTGTTAGCTGTGTGTGTGTTCTATAAATGGCAGCTTTGGTTTATGGGTCTGCAAGCCAACCGAGTTACTCCTCTTCTTTTGCACCAGACCGCAGCTAAAATTATATTTTATTCCAGCTTCTCTGCAGAATTTTGTAATTAAACTGGAAAAAAGAGATTCAATTTTATCATAAAACAAAATAACATATTGATAAATCTGAAAATTGACAACTGATTTCACAAACTACAGAAAACTGCTGATCCTCTCTGTCAAGTTAATTAAACTGTCTGTGTTTCACCTAAATAAATGGTTGAGGAAACTATTATTTATTTTAAGGAAATCTTGAAACAGATACATATGATTTCGATTAGAAAGGTTTGTGCAAATCATTGTAGGTCAAAAACTTAAAAACTATTTTCTTTATCAAAACAAAGGTATGCTGTTTGCTAATTCTTTTGCAATAGAACTAAAGTAAATGAATCTAGTATTTAACCAAGTTTAATGACCTAAATAAGTATAAATAATCTATAAAGCCTCGAACTCAACGCTATTTCTGACATTTTGAACTGAAAAAGCTTCGTGGATGGAAAGCGAAACGTCTTCAAACTTGTAAATAAAATGCAGTGGATTGTTTTTTTAACTTTTTTGGATTGACTATGACCTGGATGACTGAGAATCTTCACCAGCAAACCTAAATAAGAACATTAAAGGCTCACCAAAGTCTTGGAACAAGTTATGCTACGTTCACACCAGACGCAGCAGGCGCAGCGAGTTTACATGCAAAGTCAATGGTTGACGCGCGTCAAAGCACAGCAAAAGGTCCAGCAGCGCTCAGCAAGTGAAGCAGCACGCCGCAAACGCGCTGCTGCTCGAGGTGGATAAATTGAACTTTTGCTGCTCGACGCGCAGCGTCAACCAATCAGAGAAGCTGATCTGGGAGCTTGCAGAGAGACAGACACATCGCTGATGACACAGAGCGCTGTGATTACTCCTCTGAAACAGTTTATTGATGCATAAATTAACTTAAAATGCAGAAATCTGCCGGCATAATATGTTCGCTTTTATTATCCTGCTGCCTGCAGTTTGGATTATTTAGATGAAAAACACCTACCAGCTGCCGCGGTGAACCGCGAGGAGGCGACCCGGCCAGAGGCTGCTGTGGAATGGGATTCCTACTGTCGGCGCACCGCTGGTATGTGGGGGTCTGAGCGGCTCCGACAGAAATAATATTGTAAGGCAGGATGGTAATCTGGATGAACTGACTGCACTGATTCAATTCAATTCAGTTTATTTATATAGCACCACATTCACAACAAATGTCATCTCAAGGCATCTGATTAAGTTTTCAGGTGGATTTTCTCACTTTAAAACATCTTAAAACTACTTTATTCCCACTGATCACAGTAAATATAGCTGCAAGGCAGAGAAAGGACAGTGAAGCTCCGCCCAACGTGCGTCAGACACACTTTTGCACCGCGCAGCCAGAGCAGCAAAGCTGCTTCAGCCGCGCGTCAGAACTAAACTGGTACAAGCAGCAAAAATGAAGCAGCAGAAGCGATTTTGCTGCTCCTGCTGTGTCCGGTGTGAAAGCAGCATTAGAACTAAAATTAAAGTCAATCTGAAAGATTGACTATAAATAATTTAGTGATTTTGACGTTTTCGAATATGCAAAGATTTGAGTCATTCTGTAATAATTTAAAGTAGATTAAAAATAAAAAGTCCTTCAGCCACGGATGCTTTGAGTTCATTACTGACCTCATATTTGATCAATAAATGAAGACTTTCAAAAGCAGAGTTATGAACTATTGGTAAACCAGGAGGACTCTATGTAGCTCCGTGTCTCCTGTCACTGTATCAAAGCATCATCCACCTGTTCTGGTGTTTTGCTCCACCTGTTTTTGACACATGCTCGCTCTTAAAACCTGAAATAGAATCAAACCCGGAACCAGCACTGCTGGCAAAATCATCGGCCTTCGTTCACGTTCAGCCTTTCTAAACTCAACAATAAGCTAATTATACACATCGCCACGTAAACAGCAAAGTTACCAACTAACCCAGTAAAGGAATCACCTACTACCTTCAGGATGCATGTGGAGGAGGAGGAGGAGGAGGAGGAGGAGGGCTTGGTTTGTCTGTACTCTTATGCTGCATTTTCATGTTACAATAATGGGATGTAATCATGTTACAATTATGTGCTGCATTGTTCCGTTGGTGGGGTTGGAGTCTGGGAGCTGCCCTGTGGAAAAATAATTTCCCTTTGCAGACAATCAAATCTAATGTCGTAAAAAAAAGTCTTGATCAAAAGTCAGACTGATTGTTTCCATTGATTTAAACTGTCGTCTGACCTATTTAAGCTGTTAATGTTCCTTCGTCCAATATCATATTTATATACATTTCTAAGTATAGTTTTATTAAATGATCTTTTATTGTAGATCATAATTGTAGTTTTGACCTTTAATCAGCCAAAGTTTAGACAGAAGCCCAGGATTAGCTTTATGACATCTGCTAACAGTCACTGGGATCAGCCTGGCTCATTCTCAGGGTGTTTAAATCTGTCTGCTCCTGTTTTGGCATCAGAGTGAGGACCATTTGTTTTTGGTTCCACCATCAAATTGAGGACCGTTTATACATTTCTGGTAAAAGTTGGGTTCAGGACTGAAGTGTGACTGAGTTTAGGTTAACATTAGGGTTAGTATGCACTGGTAATGGTTCAGTTTATTTTCAGGGTCAGGGCAGAGAAAGGGTTGAGGCTAGGGTTAGGCGTTAGGGTTAGACCAGTTGTAAAGTGCAAAGAAACGACATTTTGCCGGTCCTCACATGCTATTTAGCTAATGGTGAAGTTTAGTGCTAAGGTGTCAATTGGTTATGGTTAGGATTGAGGCTGATTTACTCAGAAAGCATGTCGTCTGCTTGTGTCGCAGTGAATGCAAATGTGCCCCAGCCACTGCCGCAGACACTCTGCTGCAGCTCTCCCAAACTGTAGGCAACCGCAGACAGTGCCGCAAACAGGAGGCCTCTGATTGGTCAAATCTACATCTGCTCTACACTATACATATTTCCTGTTTGGTTCCTTCCCCGCTTGTTTTGTTTGTATGACCGCCATTGTGGAAAATGACTTGCGAAGATGGAGCAGCTAGAAGAGCGAGGTGCGTGAGAACGCTGGGACCCTTTTTCCACCTGGATCCCCGCTCTTTTTGGCCCTCATGTCCCTCCGTTGTCGCAAAAACTTGCCCCCACTTCCTCACCGCCTCGGCCGTATCTAGATCCACAGCTAGTTCCTGATTGACCTTCTTGCATTGTAGTTTGGAATAACATATATCAATATTGGGCATAAATCAAAAATATCTGCGACAAGCTCACTGCGACACACTGCTGCAGGAGGATAACCAGCCTTTAGGGAAAGATATGCATTGGTAATGGTTAGGTTTAGGGTTAATTTTAAGGTTAAGGCATAGAAAGGGTTGACAATGACTGAAAATCAATGGAAGTAAATGGGAGTCAACAAATGGTCCTCACTATATATAGCAGAATGAGTATGTGAGTGTGTGTGTCCGCTGGGTGTACAGTTGGCGTCCCTCGGCGCCAGCCCCTTGGTTTGCTCAGATGGCTCCAGAGAGGAAGGAAGCGCTCGGCTGGACAGAAAAAGATTATTGTTGCCTCGGTTCAGATAAGCAGCTCATTAATTAGCCCATTGCTAAACACAATGATACAATAGAGTCTGATAGGGGAGCTGATGGGAGGATGCTGCTGGTGTGCCAACTCATTCAGAGATGTTGGTGTGTTTTTGGGTTTCTGGGTCGCTCAGTGATGGATCTAAAACATTGAGATGAGAAAAAATGGATAGAGATCAAGAATTCAGACAGCTGGAATAAAATGAGCAGAAAAATATTTTCCAAGCTGCTGAAGCAGAGCCGGAGAAACCGAGCAGAGCCCATCGTGTTTGGACTGCTTTGTCTCCATCTCAGACTCAGGATCCCATGAGATCTAAGGAGAACCAACGCGCGCAGTTGGATCAGCGCAAAAACCCAGTAAAACACCCTCATTCCTGCAGTAAAGTCTGCTGAATGGTTTCTGAAAACAGACGAAAGCCGAAGTTCCCTCAATCATTAAACAGCCTGAAATCTTAAGGAAAATCCCTTCAACAGACTGGAAATTTCTGAAGAATCAGTGCTGGTTTGGGGTTGGTGCCATGAATCCGTCTCCTCTGTGGCAGCCTTCTTTGCAGAAATCTTATCTCAGCTTTTATTGATCATTCAGGCTCCACAGGTGCTAATGTACATCACTCAGGTCCCGTTAAAGCTGCCAGAGGAGAGAACTAAATCATTCTGAGCTTTAAATGCTCCACCTGTTAATGAGTCACATTCTGGGACATGTCCAAGTCTGGCTGTGATGAGAGGAGACCATCCTGTGAACCTTTAATACAAAAAACTCATGTCTAGCCTGGACCGTGGTTAATGCGGCTGATAACCGTATGCAGCCGCTGACGTCTGATAGTCTGCTGATGGGCCTCTAGAAGCTCCATCAAATCATGAAGTTATTCTTTAAACAGAGGAAAATATTTCAGACCTTTCCCAGGATGGAACATCAAGCAGATTTAGCTGGAAACTCAGAGGAAAGGGCAGAAACCTCAGAGTCTACAGGCCTTAGTTACCAGGTTAAAGGTCATGACCCTGAACCAGTCGGGATGCTTTGAAAGGATGAGGGAGACACCCTCTCCTCTGATAAAACAAGATGGCAGCAGGGAAGGTTAACAAATGGACAAGACTGTCTGGAACAGATGAGACCAAAGCGGAGATGTTTGGTCATAATGAATCAGCACAAACACGTCAAACCAAGGCTAAGGCACGGCGGTGGACAGTTGATGATGTGGGCTTTTCAACTGAGAGAAATTATTTTGTTGGATTCAGACATAGAATTTTAGATTCATTCCTAAACTT